CAGGACCCAACAGTAGCTACCGGCCCAGCCAGTCACGTGCCGATTACAGCCTCAGTCTCCGTCTGGACTTGACGGTCTATCAGGTGTAGTCAATCCCGCTGCTGATACAGAGAGTCTGTTTGTTGGAAAACAGCCTCTGTGAGGGCAGGTGCCTTTGTAGGAAGTGCCAGCGTTTGGCGTGTGATGTTTATTTGAAGTCGCTGTGGCAGCGGTGCTGATAGGCGAGTCGGTAGTCGTCAGGCCTCTGTCTGCTGGGTTTCATCTCCCCCTGCTCTCCTCCGTGAAGCAGATTGTCAGCTGGGGCATTACCATAGGCTGACCTTTGCCGCTGCACTCCCCACTGCACAGCTTTCTGACATTCAGGGGCGCTGTGGGGAGGCAGGAAGGGGGCGGGCTGATGGCCTGTTGGCTGGTTTTTTTTATGCCCGTAGTGCGTTGATGTGTGTGTTCTTATAACAAATGCACTGACAGCTTATGCTGGTGTGTGTGTGTGTGTGTGTGTGTGTGTGTGTGTGTGTGTGTTTTTTTTTTTTTTCACCCCCCACATCATTTCAGTCTCTTGCCACCATTTGATATTTAGTTTCTCTCCACCCCAAACCTGCCTGTTGTCAAAGAGATTGCTGTTATCTTTGTGTGGAATCTTGGCACGCTGATAAATGAGAGCGCGCTGGAAATCCTGCCTGCTCACATCGAGGCGCAGCGTACCTAAAAATCCTTCCAAGGCCGAGGGAAAAGAATAACATATCAGGCCAATTAAAGTTAATGCATGGTGACGCGCTGAATCGAGGGCAGGGATTGCTGCCATATGGCGGTCCAGGCTGTAAATCAGAAAGCGGGGGGGGGGCTGGGCAACAGGAAGGGTGATACAGCATCAGTGCCACGAAACACCCACAAATCCCTCATATCGCCACCCTACCAGTCCCCCCCCCCCTCTCCCCCCCTTTCTCCCCCCCCCCCCCCCCCCCCCCCTGCCGCCCAGCAGCACCCCAAGGTGCAACGCTCACAGGTATCTGTGTAGAACTGGCAGCTTCATTAAGGCTTTTTTTTTTTTCTTCCCTCCTCTCGCTGGGAGGATTTAAATGAGCTGTCATCCTGACCTTTTTGAGCTCCTGCTTTTTAAAGCAAGTTCAGCCCCCCCGCCGCCACCTCAGCACCCGTCTTTCTCCCTTTCCACCTTTCTCTCTCGCTTTGTCACTCTTTCTTCCACTTGTCTCTTCTCCCTGCAGGGGGGGAAGACACTTTTAAGCCATCACCCCACGGCAGACAGGCACGCCAAGGTTGTTTTGTGGGTAATTGCCGCTCTCATAGACGCTGTTTGTCTGTGCACACTCGCCGCCCTCCTCTGATGCCACGCAGCGAAAGGGGAGGGCGCGGACCCTGTAGACTTAATTTGCTCCCCGACTGTTCTTCAGTGCTGATTAAGCAAGCATCTGCGCTGTTTTGGAATACAGAAGTCAGCCAAGTTGAGCGTGGCTAACGTTTTCTCCCTCTCTATTACATCAGGTTATTGCACAAAGTGGCAGGCATTTTTTCGGAGGCGGCTCCATTGTTTAATGTCCCCAAAATAAAGGCCTCTTTGAGGTCCAGAGGACTTCAGAATCGATCAGAGACTCACTAACTTGTCAGCGCCAGGCCTCTCGAGTGTGTTCTTTTCCAGTGTACAGGAGTCATTAATTTCCTCCACCATGGTCTGGTGGAGGCAGAGAGGTAAAGCGCAGGTAGCAGGGTCCAACTGGCTGACTAACATGGAGGAGGAGGACGAGGACGAGGACGAGGAGAGACTGAGTTGATTTAAAGCTGCCTGCCCCTCAGGCCCAGTCTGCCCGTTTCACTTCAGCTGTTTGATGTTTAATTGAAGTTGTTATTGGCATCAAATGTCACCTTACCTGATGCTCCAGGTGTGAATCAGTTTCTAATTGAAAGGTAACCACGTCTCCTTCAGCCCTCTGCCTCCGGGGATCGGCCACAGAGTTCTATTAGTCTGGACCCAGCCTCAGTATCACCACGCACCATGTGCTGCCTTGCAGTTATGTCTGACTGCTGACCTCTCCTTCTCTCCCCCTCTCTCTCCCTTTCTCTCTCTCTGCAGTGTGAGGAGAAGTGTGTGTCCCATGTTGCATTAGTGTCTCTGTGAAATGCTGGCCTGTCTGCCAGGGCCAGGTGACCTCCCCCTCCAGCTTCTCCCCCACACGCAGATGAACACTGGACATCAGAAATGTAAGTATCTCGGGGAACACACACACACACACTATTAACTACCACCACCATCCCACACAACAAACCAAGCTGTTACAATCCTGCTGCCCGCCCAGCGTTAGATGCCCATGCCAAACCCTGGCTTGCTTCTCTTCTGCAGCTCAGTGTTAAAACCAGGAAGAGAGAGGGGACATTTAGGCACCATAGATCTGTCTTCAAGGGGAAATTAGGATGCGCTGCGCCGTTAATTTGCTGATGAACAGAGAGCCGGGTCCCCTTTCCCTCCCTCGTCGCCCCTGAAGGATCCGTCTGCCACGTCCGTGCGGCCCCTGTGTGCGTGCCGCGGCTCCAATCGCCACGTTCGAGCGTTGGACTCGGCCGTCTCGGATGCTTTCACGCCATCAGGAAGAGTCGGTCTCTGTCAGACTGGCAGACAGATTGCGGCTGAGTGGTTTTGCCCTGATGATCTTGTAATGAGAGTGAATTTAAGAAGCAATCTGCTTCCCCGGTTTAACGGCAGACGAGTCAGAGCTGGCCCAGTTCATTCAATGTGTTTTGAATTTTCACAACTCGGTTGCTGACAAATTGGGGCTCTTTACAGTGTGAGGCGCGGTCGCTAACCGGCTCTTGAGATTCAAGTATGACACACTGATGAATGGAAAAAAAATTTTAGTCAGTTTTGTCCGTAGTTCCTTGTTTTTTCACCCTAAACACATTTTGAACTGACATTGTTTCGGTCATTTACCACATTTTTAAAAGCATTCAAATCTCAACCATCATTGTTTTTCTCTCAAGCTTTTTACGTAAACCCAAAAGTCAATCACTTCCTAGACGATAGCTATGTCCCCTCCAGCTGATCGGCTTTATTTATTCCATCATAAAACATCTACATCTCCTTTTCTTCCTGCCTGTTTATCTAAGAGGGGGGGAACTCGGCTCCGGCTTGACCCCATTTCTGCAGCAGCTTTTTTTTTTGTTTTTTGTTGTTGTTGTTGTTGTAAAATGCTCCAGCTCATCAAGACTATAATTTCAGAATCACAGTAATCAGCCAACCCCCAGGAGATCAGCAAGTGTGAGGGAGTCTGCTAAGTGCCAGCGTCTGTTGCCTCACTCAAGCAGGCTTGTGACATAGTGCAGCCATCAGCTACACCGAGTCTCTGCTCTCCCTTTGTGTGACACATCGGAGCACGAGGCGCAACCAGAGTTCAATTTGTTTTCCTGCCCAACGCTGTAATCCATTTCGGTGATGGAGCACACGAACGGTCCTCGAAGTGTAATTTCAATCTATGTTTTTTTTCCCCTCCTCCTCGTCATTCTCATATAACGCTTTTCCTTTTCATCCGCTCTTCAAAGTATCATTAACAGACATGGTGTTACATCAAAAGCAGTGGAGCTGTTTTTCATTTTAGGCTAAGTCATTTATTATCAAAGTGCCTTAGAAAAAAGAAATCTGTACACTCTGAAGTCGCCTCTCATGCTGCCTACGATCCAGCACCAGAACACCTTCTGGATGTCCACGGTTTGAGCTTTGAGTTCCCCATTTGCTGCCACGCGCAGCCAGAATCGGGCCTCAACCTTCAGGTCACACTCGGCCCGTCTCCCTCCCGGCTGCCCTCGGGACTCCTTGTCTCTGCAGAGCCCCATCGTTTACCCAGCATGGCGGATAATTTGGCAGCTTAACTCCATGTGCTCGGCTGCTTTTAGGTGAAATTCATAGACTAGTTGTCGCTTTAAATCTCTATTCAATACTCTGACGAGTTCCCACAGGAAAAAAAAAGAGGCTCAGATGGAGGGTTCACATAATTAACTCCAATTTGTGTTCCCATTCGTCTACCGTATACTTTTAGCTACTCGGATGCTGACTCGTATGTTCACCAAGAGCCCCAGATCGCCAGGCTGCCTCCTCTCCTGCAGGTGAATCTGTGCACACGGAGAGTCATTTAAAGTTACGAGCTTTGCGGGGTCGCTGTCAGAGGCGAGGGCCACAGCACCTGCTCTATTTATCATCAGGGATTGGCTGTGAACAGATGATGGCCTTGAAACATAAAGGCTGTCAGAGGAGTAGATTAGGTACGCAAAGAGACAGTTGTGGGTCACAAAGGAAACGGCTCGTACTCCAGGCCGGACAACTCAAGCGCCACAAAGTGGCCCTTTGCTTCTTACAGGCAGAACAAACAGTGAGTACAGCTGGGCCACTTGGCGGATTTTTCACATCTCGATCCCCACTGAGATCAAAAGCAGCCATTTTTTCTTCCTCTCCTAATCACATTTTTTTTTTTTTTTTTTTTTTTTTTTTTTTTCAAAGTTCTTGATCTATCAGCATGGGAGGCTTTGCTCAACTGTCTGTAAAAATTGTAAGGAGGGGGCTTCATGCGGGAAGCCAAACTCGCATGTCTAATTTAGATGCCGAAGCTTCAGACCTAATTTCCTGCTCTTGTGTGAAAATCGCAATTTGCAGCAGCACGAGCCCCTGCCCTCCTGCTGCTTAAACCTTGTTCAATAAAAACAGTAGTTTGAATAAAAGAAACCCTAATTAGTGCCTGCTGACTGTGCACTTGTGTTCCAGCTAGCTAGCTTGCAACGGGGTAATTAACGCACGGCTAGACTGGCCTCTTTTCTCCCTGTTCTCTCCTTGGGTGCTTAGTTGGAGATCTGAGAGATGATATGCTCGCAGCCGCCTACAAACTTCACTCATATCCTCATTAATCCTCCCTTGATACTTTTAAGCTGTTCAACTAATCCAGGTTTCAGGTTAAGGTTGAGATGCTAATAAGCTCCGCTTGCTTACTAGAACACACAATCAACAGCTGCCAGGACCCTTAAACAGTCGTAAACAGCAAGAGGTAGATTTTATCCACTGTTTGGGGAAAACTACTCTCAACAGCAATTTACCGATTTCACTCCACATTTTTACAGCAGTTCTGCTAAACCCTTCATTCTGATTTGCTTTTTTTATCTCAAAATGCCTGCCTAAGCTTTGTTAACAATGTGTAATCCCTTTTCCAATTTAATGGATTGGTCAGTTTCCAGACATTGACATTGCTTTCTTTGCCACTTGCCTGAGTCTTACAACTTAAGTATAAAACTCATTACACAAGTGCCGGTGGCAAACCGTACACAGTTACATGCTCGCTGCAGATGTTTTCTCTTAATGTAAAAGCCAGTCAACGCTATATTTCCAACATTGTCTAAGTCCCCTAAATATGAATATGAAACTGCACAAACATTTATATTTAGGTATAATTAATTTCAGGTTGTTATATTACATTATTTGCTATATTATATTATTTAGATCATGTGAACAGGACTTAATCGTTACGGTCTGACCCCGATTAGAAACATTTAGAGAAGCTAAAAGTTGTTGTCTGTCACTTCTAAGTGTTTGGATCAGTCTTTGCATTATTTACCCCCGACTCCACTTTTCCACGTCGGCTCAGTATGCACCCTTGTATCCTCGCGCCGCTTGTCTGCTCCTCTCCGAACACGGAGCGAACCCTGAGAGATGATGTTACACTTGAAGTTGCCGTGGTCTTTTAACATTTGTTCACACTGTCCACAACCCTGGTTTGATCCACAAGAGTCTTATTCCCAGGAAATGATGATAAAAGATGTTTTATTCATTGCAACAGCTGATGGTTCTATCTTCCCACCTACTTAAAACCCTTTCAGCAGCGACATTGACATGAGCTTTTGACAACAGTTGCAAACAAAGGAGGCTGTGCCAGAATCTCACAATCTCTAGATATATCTTGAGTACTGATAGCAAACAAGTTACATTCATCAAAGTGTAGTTGTATTGCTTTAAATGGTATTTACTGTGTACTAAATGTAACCCGTTGCCTTTGTATTTATTCAGTCAGCTTTTTCCGATTTCCATCCATCAATACCTGTGTTTGACGGGCGATGTCCATCCTCAGCCAGCTTTGTGTCCGAGTGTTCATTTCTCTGTGTTTGCTTACCCTGGCGTTTATTCAGACACTAGGCCTCGGCGATGGCGGGTGTCGAGCTCCAGCTCCTTGGCCCGTACCCCTGCATTAATGAGGCCGCCATCAGCAGGCCGAGCACTTGGTCACAGCGGCCCCCCTGTGTGCCGCCCCGATCCGGCCCCCGCACATCGCCTCCCATTGTCTCCTGTTCACAAATGAAGCAGGAATTAATTAGCCAGTTGGCACGGCTCCCGGTGCCGCCGCGTCTTAGCTCGCAGTTCAGCTCTGTGCCTCGTCCCTCAAGCCCAGCCTGCCTGCTGTGAGACTGAGCATAACGGCCACGGGAACCATGAAACCGCGGACCTCTGCCAGCAATTGAGACATTTCAACAGAGAGAATAAGTAGCCTGTATGCTGTACCGGTGACGTCTATTTTTACCTGAACAGAAGTCCCCTCCTCAGAAATAATGATAGTAAGTTAAATGAAGGACAGTTACGACAGACCAGTAATCCTTCTCATAGATCAGTCCAGCTCATGTCCATCAGTCCGAAAGCTGTGGCGTAAGTAGGTCAGACTGGCAGGGCCGAGGTGATGGAGACAGGCTCCTCTCCCTGCTTACTTCTGTCATTCCTTATTATCACTGACTTTTCTTGTCTTAGTAAAGCAAGTGGCGGTGAGCACACTGCGTTAAATGGAAACATGCAATCACGCCCGTTAGCCGACACCTGCACGATCCTGTCGCACATTTTTAAACAGGCTCATAAGTGGAAACCGCACCCTCGCGCTCACACATGCACCGGCACATAATCGTGTTCACATTGTCACATCGGCATTGTTAAATTTAGCCACAGTGCTTAGCAGGTGTAACGAATGTCTGCGAGCTGAGGCCTGGGAGGTGTTCCTGCAGATCAGAGACGCTGCTGCTGTGTCTGATTACTTGTCTGCTGTCATGGAGCTCCGCTCTCTGCGTCGATCTCTTTCTTTCCTTCTCCCCAAAGCAGACACAGGGGACCGTCACTGCCTCTTTTATTCTTTGTTTAGTTTGTGATTCAGGAGCAAGCAACGCAGCCCCCCCCCCACCCTTCCCGCCCTCAGATGCCTACTTATTGTTTGCCCGGATGCTGCGTCAATTAAGGCCACTAAAAGCCCCTGACCTCAAAGTCATATACACCACCGCGAAATTGGATTTTAGACTGGGAAATGTGTCGGTCGCAATAATTCAGCTGAGGATGAGATTGGAAATCTCTCTTTGGCCTCGTGAGACGGGAGCTGTGAGGGATTTAGGAAAAAAACAGCGAGGTATGGAATATGAGAGCGCTGTCCTCTCAGCTGCTCAGATTACAACCGACGTGCTCTTTTGTGCCATGTACACTTCCACCTGGATTAAGTTGTCTCTTTCTGTGCCTCCCTCCCCACTCTCTTCATCCCCCCCCCAATTCTCCTCTTCTTGCTTTCTGTCTCTGCTCTGACCTGTCCTGTCCTACACCCCAGGGGACACCACGCAAAGGATGAGATCCGCTCCGTTTCCGACCCCTGCAGAATTGGATGCTTTTGCTAAGAAGGTTGCCAACAACCCCCTCACCATCAAGATCTTCCCCAACAGCGTCAAGGTACCCCAGCGGAACCACGTGCGCCGTACAGTCAACGGGCTGGATACGTCGGGCCAGCGCTACAGCCCTTACCCTTCCTCTCAGGCCATTGCCAAGACGGGCCTCCTCGCCATCATCAAGGTGCCCACAGTCAAAGGCGTCCTAAAAGATTTTGACGGCAGCCGGGCTTGCCTGCACTCCGAAGTCATCATGAACGCCCCCAGCGGACCCTACCAAGTGGCCTCGACCAGCACTTTAAACCACCACCACCCACCTCTGCAGAACCTCCCCCGGCTCCAGCAGAGCGTACCCCTTCAACCACAGGACCCACCTCAGACTCTACAGATGCCCCTCCAGCAACAGCAGGGTCACACCCAGAGCCTCAGACACCCTCCCCACATGGCCCAGCACCCTCAGGGCCCACCCCGACTCCAGACTCTGTCTCAGCACCCGGCCCTTGGCCACCCACAGGGGCCCCCTACCGTCATGCTTCAGCAGCAGCACCTTCAGCAGCAGCCACCACCTAGCCTGCAGGGGAGCAGAAAGCTGCCAGATGGCGACGCACCGCCTAATGTTACCGTCTCTACCTCAACCATTCCCCTCTCCATGGTCACTGGGCTGCACCAGGGCCACCAGGCTGACCTGAGCACCATCGTGCATCAGATCAACCAGTTCTGTCAAGCTCGGGCCCAAGGCGCGGGAGTCACCTCCATGTGCGAGGGCCAGATCGCCAACCCCAGCCCAATCAGTCGCAACCTGCTCATCAGCGCCTGCTCCAGGGTGTCCATGCACAGCAACCCTGCCACCCCTGGCTTTCCCCCGCCCAACTGCATTATCGGTGCTCAAGAGACAGCCACCGCCCCGGTGGGAGCTCACCCGCCACACGGCGGGGCTATTATGAACCACTTGCCTTCCAACCACACCGATCTCAAGCAGCAGCAGCACCACCACCACCACCTGCAGCAGCAGCATCTGCATCAACAGCAGAATCAGCAGCAGCAACAGCTACAACATAACCCACAGCAGCAGAACATGCGCTCTTGGAATCAGCACCAGTTGGGTCACTTGCCCCACATTCAGAACGGTGGGACCCACCTCTGCAAGCAGCCTTCCAGGGACCCCGCCTTCCATTTTAAGGGCATGGGCTACCCTGCAGAGGTGTGTGTGGGTCAGCCTTACACACTGAAACCTCCCGTAGAGAGGCCCACCCCCTCCCCCCCTGTTAACAACGGCATGTCCGGCCCCATGGCCCACTACACCAATGGTCACTACTTCCAGTCCCACATTTGGAACAGCAGCATCCTACCCACACCCAACAGTGACAGCTCCGGGTCTCAGGACATAGCCATGCCATTCCACGGTGCGGGCCCAGGGGGGTGCGCCACACTAGACTGTGGGCCCCCCGGGGCCCCACATTACAGGCTAGGAACGAGCTCCTGCACCTCCTCTTCCTCAGCCCAGACTAATCTGATGCAAGCGGCAGATTACTTGGGTGGGGACTTCCAGAGTCCCTACTTCCGCGATCAGAATCTAGCGTTGATGGGCAAGATGCACAGGCCTCCTCTGAGCAGGGTTGGTCCAGAGGTCGGAGATGGCAGAACCGCTCTCATCCAGCACCCAGGGTACAGATAAGAGTTATCAAAACCCCTTTGTTTAGTCTTAAGAAAGGAAACACATGAATACAACTAAATTGATAACTTCAAAACACCTTATGTTAAAGAGGGTAAATTAATATATTTAATGAAGAGCAGTAGGTTTTTTTTTTTTTGGTTCTTTTTATAAATCTTGCAAGTGATCAATTGCTACTTTTATTTTGTTAATGAGTGCTTTTACCTGGCACTTTAGGGAACTTTTTCATGTGCGTGTGTATACACATCTGTACTGTGTGTGTCATTCCCTCCTTCCTCTATCTGTGTGCCTGGATCCAAACAGATCCTGTGTTATTCCTACTTCAGATCTATCCGTAACATTTTCTTATGCATGTAAGAAAGAGGAACAGCAGATGGATCCCAACATCATCTACTGATGGATGCTTTTTTTTTTTTTTTTTTTTTTTTTTTTACAGGGTCATGTCAGGAATTTTTGGCTCAGACTAGTAACTAGTCTGAGCCATTTTCATGTTGGTGTTAACTCTCCAACCTCGTAGTAACTTCAAGATTAAACAGTCATTTGGGGACAGAAGAGAGTAATAATCGTATCTCAGTGCAAAGCCACCAGACACTGGAGACTAGAGTACTGTTAGAAAATCTTGCGGTATGCACATGGTTTTATTCTTTTGAAATGTAATTATTTATTTGTATCATAGGACTATTCAAGAGTGATTCCTCTCTGTCAGTTAAGGGAGCATGTAATCAGGTTGTTTTGTACATAGTCATGATCCAGCAGGGAGCAAGTATGTTGTAAAGGCGATGATGCTCTGTCCTGCTGAAAATGCTGCAATGAATTCAGGTGTTTTAAAAAAAAAACAAACAAACCTTTTTGTCAATGCCAGGAAGGTTTGGCAAAAAGCTTGTGAAATGATTAGTGCAGAAGAAGTCACGGAAGATCAGCTCTCAGACTTTAAAATGGCCAAAGTCATGTTAACGAGGACACACTGTTATGAAGATGTGCCATTTCGTGTTTGTTTCCTTTTTCCGATCGTTTTTTTGTAACCATGACAAATGTATTACTTGAATGTTGAGATGATTTGTTTTGCAGTTATTGAGGGGGAAAGGTGGGTTACGAGGACAAAACTCCAGGGTCGAAGAAATGATGACGACTGGAACAACGAGCCTCGACAAGAGTTTTGACCCTAACAGCAGGAACCTAAGTGAATTTAAGTTATGTGTAGTTGCTACTGATTCTGATGTGAAGTCTGCTTGAAAAGACCAAATTGATCACTTGCAAGATCACTTGGAAGTGAACAAAACTGACTTTTAAGTTTAAAGTGAAACAGCAAATGCATTGTTTATTTTATTGTACACTGGCTTACCTACTCGTAACTTTAAACGTTCACGATTGTGTGTGTGTGTGTGTGTGAGTGTTGCCTGCTGAAGTGGGTAGATTTAACGGTGTGTGTGTGTGTGTGTGTGTGTGTGTGTGTGTGTGTGTGTGTGTGTGTGTGTGTGTGTGTGTGTGTGTGTGTGTGTGTGTGTGTGTGAGAGAGAGAGAGAGAGATAGTGCGCGTGTGTATAAACACAATGGCGCTCATGTTTTGTTCACCTAACTCCCCAACAGCCCTTAAAAAGCCTTAAGTGTTTGGTCCTTGGACTTCCCTTGAAAAAGAGCATGGTTTTAATGAAAACCCCAAATAATAAGGAGAAAGCGGATGGTGAGTATACGCAGAAACAGCAATTATTATTATTTTAGTTTCTCTTTATTTTATTTTATTGAGGTTTTGTTGAATAGACAGAGCAATTCCTTAGGGATTCTTTATAATGGAAAGCAAGAAAAGGAGTAATATTTTGTAATTATATATTTTAGCAATGTGTAGTTACTGAGCTTTAACTTCTTTTTTCCCCCCCAGTTTCAAAGCTTCAGTTTGCAGTTGTGACTATTTATAATACTTGATTTGCTTGTTATTTAATTTTCATTTCCTTCTTTGTTTCTTGTTGCTGTGAAATGGAAGAAGGTCCACAAGCCTTTCTTTTGTGTCATTCTGTACGACAGATAAGAGGCAAGAGCGTGAGAGTTGTGCTACTCTTTTTGTAATATTGTAATAATAAAATAAAGTTCTAATTTATGCTTTGAAATGAGTCTGACCCGTTTGTGTGGATTATCTGCAACACTGATTTAAACTGACGCCGACTACAGGTGTGCTCTTTTTCTCCTGCCCCCTTCATTCTGCACGAGCTCATGCTGTCTGACAGTTCGGGTAGGTTGCTATTCACAGATTTGTGTCTTGCATAAACAGCCTTACAGCGGTCCAAAAGGCCCGCCTTAAACCACATGTAATTTGTAACCGAGACAGCTAGTGCTGAAGGTGGCGATTGTTGCACCAATTGCGGTGCTTTCATGCCATTTATCAGAGCCTGCCTCTGCCAAATGGAAAAGGGAAGTAGGGTAGACAAAGCAAGCTGTGAAATCCACAGGACTATCTGGCTGCAGTAGATTTAGCTTGTCTGGCTGTGATGAAAATGGGACTTGTATAAAGGGCACGCGGCGGGAGGGCAGGATCAGCACCTTCGTAATCAGTATTACTCCATGAAGGATTTTGAGAGATGTCAGAGGTGCCAGGCAGGCTCTGGCCTTTGTGCGGAGAGGATGTGCATCCTGTTCATGTGGTGGGAGAATCAGCATGTGCAGAGAAGCCTTTGGATTACATGTTTAATGTGTTGCAAATGTTCAACATTTAGCAATTAAGCCGGCTCTTGATGCAGATTTTTTTTGAGAAGGTTTTGTCAGTCAGAGGAACAAAGATATTGCCTCAAAGAAAATTTCAATTCAAAATGTAAAATAAAGCCGACTTGGGAGTATCTGTCAGTCACAAAGGCAGGTCAAACATTTGACAGTTACATTTCTTGGGGAACTGAATAATGTCTTTAGGTTTGAATGCCCCGATGCTCGGGTCAGCCAGGCCGAGCGGACAGTGAAGCTCCGCGTGCGTCGTCTCTTCAGACCGGTGAGCTGTTCAGAGGACTCATCTCTGTGGACTGAGTTGTCGGCATCCGCCAGCTTCTCCAGCTCCTCCCTGTGGACGAAGGAGGAAATGTTACACGGTGTGGACTACTTTGCTCTCACAGAGGAAAAAAAAACACCAAAAACATGATTCAATCGAAGAACGTTTGGGTTCATGATTCCGCACCTCTGTTCGCTCTGATCGGCGGGCTGTCTGAGGCAGGGTGTTGGGCGCCATCCCAGCACCCGGGATCCTCATTGATTTTGCCCAGGTTGATGTTCCATTTGTTCCAGTTGACTTCCTCCACTCTGAGACGACAAGAGGACACATGCTCCAATTACTGTCTGCGGGCTGATGCATCAATCAGCTGCCAGAGAAGGCAAATTAGTGAAGAACACAGTGTGCTGCGCGTCAATCGATCCCCCTCGCACAGCTGCATCTATTCTTATATCTTCAAGCCTAAACCTTTATTATTATGTGTGTATCCTGTGGCCTTTAGTTACCTGTCAGCTAACACGGTGCACATTGCACACAGCAGATTGCACATGCTGGCTTCACTTTATATTTGCCCACAGTCCCAGAAACCAACTAGTTCCTCTATGCTTGAAGTTAGCATTTAGCATGCTCACATTGTCACTGTGAATATGTAGATTGTACAATGTTTCCAGTTTTCAGCATCTTAGCTTAGCATGATAGCATGTTAACATTGGCTAATTGGCACTGCAACAAAGTGCAGCTGAGGCTGATGGGAATGCCATTAGCTTTGCAGGTATTATGTCATAAACCAAAGTGATGGGCAAAACAAAAAATTTGATGGATCGAGTTATTACAATTCATCCAGTGTTTTAGCGGTGCATGTTACCAAAATATAATCACATTACCACAAAATTATTGCAACACAGCGATAGCAACTTTGGTTCCTAATCTGTGATTGGGCAAGGAGGTCTGTGCGTGTCATGTCATCCAGGTGGTTCACATGCAGCTTCTGATGGAGCCCCTCGAAACGCGGCAGTCACTGATTGTACTGTCGCTGAACTGAAAGAAGCCAACCTGAAACACCGGCGAAGGTCATCTCCAAGAGCGGTGCGAAGGTTCATCTCCACCCCGCAGCGGAACCTCTTCCTCAGACAGCAAGACAGCCTTCTCTCCATTTCCAAGATCGTGATGGCCCTCTGAAAACAGTCACAGCACGCCATCAGACCACATCTGCTGTGAACAGACACATTCCCCTCGACCACCACAGAGCCTCCGCTGGACGCCTCACCTGTAGCTTCCAGATGCTGGCGCTCTCCACTGTGGTCTTCTCCACGGTGCGGTTCATGAGGGCGATGAGCATGTTGAGCAGCAGGATGTAGGTAAGCACGATGTAGCCGATGAGGAGCAGGTAGAAGACCTCTGTGTTCTCGTGGTTCTGGGTGAACTCCATGTCGCCCATGCCGATGGTGAACTTGAAGAGCTGCATTATGGTGTAGGGGATGTTTGTGAAGGAGGGTTTGACACACTCCTCACCAGGATCAATGGGACCATAGAGACGCCCCTTCGGCGTCGGAATTACAGTGGTGTTTTTCACTTTAGGCTCTATGAGCAGGGTGACCACCGCTGTGTCGGGACATAGGAAACAGATTACATACAGTGCATCCTCCATTCATGGCATGTTGGATCCTAAATGAGGTCACTGCCTAAACACTACCTGCTGAGAATCCAATGAGGAAGACGATGTAGACGAGAAGGAAGCGCAGGATGTCACTGAGGATCATCTACAAAGACGAAAAGAGACAAAGGGCTTCAGCGAATCGTTCAATGCGATGTTCACCTTGCTGCAGTGTGACCTGTGTGGACTACCTTCTGGATCATGATGCTGTAGATGCCCATGTGTCTGTCGCCCCTGGAGAAGTAGAGCATGTTCACCCAACTGAGAGCAAGACACAGCACCAGGAAGGCGAGGTACTGCGTCATCCCGAACAAATACAGCCCGGCCGAGACCAGGAAGAGGACGCCCTGCACAAAGCTATCAACAGCAGAGAAGCAACTGTGAACCTGCAGCTTTGTGATTCTAAATTCTAACAATGTAAATGTGTCCTGTATAATCCATCCCAGATCATCCAAAACTGTTACACGTCACCAGTCTGTGCCATGCAAGAAATCCCACGAGTTATTTGGTGATTACGCATGGAGTACTTTAAATTATACAGTGCCTGTAAAAAAGTATTCACACCCCTGTGGATGTTTAATGTTTTATTTTTACATCATTTTTCTTAGAAATATTCACCCCCTTTAATAGGACACACTTAAAAGTTGCAGTCAGCAATTCTAATCCAATACATTTCCTCGCGGTACGCTATTTGTACATTTAAAAAATCCGGTGTTCATGCACAGCTCCTGCTCTGTAAATGGGAACAACAGGGCACAACACTATTGCAGCCAATCAGCGACAGGGGACAGGCCACAGATGTATAAAGAGAAAGAAAGGGGGATATTTGTCTGAGTGTTGAGTTCATGTGTCTAACAGTCTTTCTCCAGAATCGCTGACTCCTCCTTTAAATGATCACTGGTGCAGCCAGGTGGTTTTAGAAGCCACATAGTTAGTTAAATGGAGATCATATGTGTGTAGTCAAGGGGTTTCAGTTGATTGTAGAATAATTAGTACACTGGGATAACAAGGACACTGTTGGTGTGTCAGTATTGTGGCAAAACCCACATTGTTAAGACAAAGCTAAGAGTGACTGACAAGCACCACAACAGACATTGCATGGGTATATAGTTAAAGAAACAATAACTATGTACCCATGCAAATGCTGCGTCTGTTACTATCACTAACCACTATGGTAGAAATGATGCCATCTATCAACTGGAAGACGCTGCCAGTCGAGGATGATTCCAAGTCCAATTTTCTCCTTTTGTTTCGGTGAAAAACACAGAACTTCACTCGGTACCTTTATTTCAAACCACGCATGGGAGATAAGCTTCACTATACTTACAAAAGAATGTCATAATATCCATCAATCAGCAACGTCTGCAGCTTCGGCCGTTTCCTCTTCAGCTCTAAGATCTAGGAATTTAGATAAGGTTTTTTTGATTAATCACATTAGTGGAACACAGCTGCTACAACCTGGTGATATGAGCCACTGGATATTTTTATTTAAAACACAAACATACCCCTATGAGAAAGAAATAGCAGTTTGCCACCGATATCATTAGCTGGCCTGAAACATACAGGTAACCCTTTATGGTGTGTTTGAGGGGATACGGCAGCTGTGGGACACAGAAGAAACAAAAAGCAACATCAGCACAGGTCTGTCTGGGATGGCTACACAGATCAATCACACAGTTTGCTGCCAGCTCACCTTTCCAGATTTCTTATTGTAGGCGACAAGAGTGAAGATGATCAGGTACAGGAGGTAGACCAGGAAGTTGAGAAAAAACATCTGACCTGCAAACTTCTTCCACTTCTCCTCCAGCAGGTGGCTCAGAGGCTCCATCTGGAGCATCTCGTGGCGGTTCTGAGGAGAGACAGATGCTTGAGCACAGAATAACGACAGCAGCTGCCCCGACCGGGCTCAAAATGCTGGGACTCACAGGAATGTCACTGCCGTAGACCAGTATCTCCATGACTGAGTTGTCCTCCAAAGAGTCCACCGAGGCCAGGTCGTAAAGGGAGCTGTGTACGGGGCCGTAAACCCACTCGGTGAACTTACGGGATAGATGCTTAGTGTGACACTCGTGGAATTCCCGTTTCAGGATGTGTGCAAAAAGCTGCAGACAAACGAAAGAGCAAAATCATGTCTGAGACTGTTCAATCACATTAATCCAAGTACAGTACAACAGTGAGACTGGAATTGTAGACTTGTCTGTGACCCCAATCCAGAAGCTCCCAGCCAAAACAGTACTAATTGGGTTGTCAGAGGAGCTGGGGGCCTATAGTACATTTCTATTCTACTATGTCTGAAGTGACTGCAGTGACTATAGTGTTTACCCCGATCTTGCCAGTCTTGGCAGCCATTTTGAGAGGCGTCAGCCCCTTGAGGTTCACGATGTCCTCCAGCTTCAGCTTTGGGTGCAGTTGGGCGGTGGTGTTGAGGATGCGGTCGTACATTTGGGTAATGAACTCTGTGTTATCCTTGTCCATATCCTTGGATTTGGCAGCCACCATCACCAGGGCGTGCAGCACCGTGTTGCCGTGAGAGTCCGTCATCTTAGCGTCCGCTCGCTGGTACTCGTTTTCCATGAGGAAGTCCACCACGGTGGGTTGGTTGGTGCAGGCTGCCAGAGACAGAGGCAGCTCACCTGAGGACAACACAGAGAGACTCAATTAAGCAACAGCTTTTTAAAAATACATACAACTGATTTAAATACATCTCTGTCTGAATGTGTAACTTGTGTCTACGTCTAATCCATCAAAGTACATCAGACTGATGCCAGACTGACCCCCCTCCACACATTTGTTGTTGTTTTTTGTTTATTGTTATTTCACTCGGACACAGTGCAAAGTTATGTATGTGAGTTTCACACTAAAGACTACATTCATCAGTTGAAGGGGGAAAGTTTATGTTTTTGACATGTTCATGCAAGCATGATTTTGTGATTAGTTTTGAAGCCAATTATGGTCCAGTATTCAACTTAGGGACTGTACAAAAATGATTATGGCGGGTAGGGCTGCTGAGTCTTATTTTTCACGTTTTAAAAAAGCAAGGCCCTCCCCTAGGTTTTTAATATCCCCCTGGACTTAAGGGGATATAAACTGCAAAACCCTCCAACAAATAACTTAAATAATGAATGAGAGTACTGAGGTGGAAAACCTCCTTTAACAATAAATAACTAAAAGAGTTAAAGCATTAAGTATTCCAGACTCAATGAAGATTCACCCCGATGTAAACATTTAATATCTTAGTTGAAATTTGAATTTCAACAAGACATACGTTAAAAGTTAAAATGCTGAATGTGACCCTGACGATGCTAATTCAATACTGCTGTACTGCCGTCCTTCTTTGTTATGAACTAACATTAAAGGTGTTAATTAAAGGAGCATTATTATAGCAACAAACAGCTAGTTGCATGCAAAGATATAGTGGAGCGTAACGCCAACTGTTAGCTATTTCAGTACTGTTGCTGTTGTCAGTGCCGTTAGCACCGTTAGCTTTTCACTGCTATGTTGAGACCCGTGTGGAGCCAACAGATATGCTCTGAATTCCGTATTGAGCTCCTTTAAAGTAAAATTGAATAATTTAAAGGAAATTAAGAAAATTACCAACTTAGAAATAATAAAAAATGTATTGCTTTATGTTGCTCATTGTCACACGAGATGCTGTGAAAATACAAAAAAAAAGCCTCACTCAACAACAGGAGCAGTGAAATGTGAATCTTGATGATCTTTGTGTGAGGCTCTAAAGAAGGGCGCTCCTCCCTGCAGCAGCATGGACTCACCAAAATAGAAGTTGGGGCCATCGTGTGGCTGGAAGAATACCCCGCAGGCTTTGGCATAGACATCTGCTCCTTTACTGACCAGCAGCTTCACATAGGAAATACTTCTCCTCTCAATGGCAATGTGGAGAGCTGTCTGGCCTGCCAGAGTCACACATAAACCACAGTCCATATAAAAAAAATCTGATAATGTCGCAAAAGTTTATTCTCTCAGCAATTCTGCTTCGTACACAGTTTACCTTTGTAGTAGCTGTTGGTGTAGGCTGCATTCACAAACTCCTTAAGGTCGCCCGTCTTCTCTGAAATGTCGATTAAGAGCTCCACCGTCTCGTTCTTGCCGTCCTTAAGGTGCAGCAGAGCCTTCATCAGGGCGGTTTTACCATAGGACTGATCTGCGGGTGTAACCACACATTCAGGGAGATGACACACAAGTCTACGGCTCACTGTTTGGCGCATCTGTTGCATTACGGGGTCTCACACTCACACAGGGAGTCGGAGAGCTTCTTCATGTTCTGGCGCAGGTACTGATGCAGGTTGTCCAGCTTTCTGACATCCCCGCTGGCCACCGCTTCAAACAACCTTTCGATGGTCAACGTCTTGCTGTCTCTCTTGTTCTGCTCCTCGCCTCGAATCCCTCTATAGACAAAAATAATTTCACACACAACACGGTTGCAAAAAGATTCACGCGGGTCAAGAGGTCAAGCCGCCTCACACTCCACATTAATCCACAGCGTGGGGCTTGATAATGCACAGCACTCATGGTATAATGAGAATTAAAGAAAGGCTGAGATCACATTGTGTTTGCATGGTGAGGCTCACTTGTCAAAGTTGAGATTGAATCTGATTTGAGGCCTGGTCGTCTCCATTTCCTCAAGGTAATCAGTGTCCATGGGGGCCTTGGGCGACTTCTGGCCCAGACCCAGGGCAGAAGCCACACCGCCCTTCCTTGCCGCTTTCTGCCGCGCTTTCTCCTCCTCCGTCCGGTCATCTGCCTCCAGAGAGAAGCCAAACATCTCTGACTTCTCCATCATGGCCTCTTGCTCCAGTGATCTGCATGGACGCACAGAAACAAGAGTGTGTCATTCAGACAACAACCAACAGATGCAGTGAAGTGAATTTGATTACTAGAGGTACACATGTGGAGAAGTAGGAAACTTTACTTCCTGTAGACCAGTGGTTTCCAATTTGAGGGTTAGGAGCCATCCAAGCGAGGTAAGGCAAAAAAAGAAACATTTCTACGACGTGAAATGTTTTTCTCTTTGGCTGAACGGCACACAACTGTGTCAATGGGTCACACATACTCTTTGCTTTGTTCTAGTGGGCCACAAGTGTGCTGCGTTGGTGCTTTAACATGAGTTACTATGTGTTTGTATCAGCTGGGCCTGGGACATCTCTGCCACAGGGGATCACCTCACAGACATATTTCCAGACATGTGATGTTTCAGCCCCAGTGACTAACAAAGGAGTGTATTTAGAAACAGATTTCCATGGCAGCTCTGCACGCAGAACTTGATCCGGTATCCACTTCTTTGCAGAATAATCAAATCACAAGCAGTAAGGTTTATACAGACACAGAATGTGAATGACATGAAAAGATTCCCGCAGAGTTCAGCTGATCACAATAAAAAGACGTATGCTATTTTGATCTAAGGAATCATGTTGAGGACAATGGGAACCTAATCTTTGGTGGCTTCTTGTTCCCCTTTTCAGTCACGAAATGGGGAATTGGTGACTCAGTACAAACCCCCGTAAGACACTGTGATCATAAGATTCAGAGGGATGTGTAGTGCAGCAAGAAACAAAGGATGGAAAAATGCAGAAGTATGAACTGCATGCTCATCTCCAATGAAACACAAATGTATCTTTTAACAATTATTTAGTAGCACATCTGAATGAATTAAATATTTGTTGTCATTGACAAAACTGTATTTCATAACCTCTTTGTTGTTCAGTTGTGTGTGCCGAAGCAGCTTCTTCCACGCCATGCTACAGATGTACAATTATTAACAAATATTAATACACACAAACGATGAAACCACTACCATCATTTCTCATATCCTTATTAAATCTCATAAAACAACCAGAAAAAAACAAGCAGTGCACTGCATGTTTTTGTTTTTTTTAAATGTAAGCGTGGCGGTATGTTCAAAATGTACAAAATACATGAAAACTAGTCACAATAGCTTGCTATGAGAGTGTACAGAAATATGTTCAGACTAAGAGGATTCCTCTGATACTCAACATGTTTGTCAATGTCCTTCAGGACCAGAAGCAATCTAATGATTCAAAACTGGTAAACAAAACCATTAACACATCAGTTGACTCACCACAAGTAAGTCTTCCTGCTCCAGATTGTCTTCTTCTTTAAAAATGTGATCAAAACATAACAGTCGGCTGCACACAATGGCGAGTCCTTCAGAGATAAGGCTTTCTGTCCTCAGATGCTCATTTACTGGACAGGCGGTGAGAGACAATAGGAAGAAGCATGATGGGAGATAAAATGACACACCCAAGAGAATATCAGAGCACATTAATGGAGGCCTGAGTGCTTTAAAGGATGTATTGACCATCTCTACTGATGCTAAGACAGCAAAAGAAATACCACAAAGTACCAGTATGTTACCCGACACTGAACACGTTTCATGATCAACAAATCAGAGCAGTTTAACTTTGTCATAAGTCGTTCAGACAGGAACTTTTTTTATTTAACTTAGAGGTAATACAGAAAAATAAATGAACTTACCCTTCTGAATTGCTGCTTTTCTTTCACAGGTTCGTGTATATTATTTCTGAAGCGGCTCTTTTTTTTAGTCCATAACATTGCCTCCTGTGTGTCTTATGTGCCTCCTCTAGTTTCACTTACATGTGGGTGTGTTTGTTTTTCAGCGCTGCTGTGTTCCTGTGACTGTGTGGTTGCAAAGCTTTTGCCTACCACGCTGTAAATCTGCATTCAAGAGATCATCTGACGATTTCCTTTCTGAAGATCACTTCCCCTTTTTCACGGTGCACAAGGCTTCACATATTGACGTGGTTACCGTTAGCGCAGAATGGCTCAAGTTATTAAAATGTTACCCAAATAGGCAACGAAGACTTTACATCCGATATTGTGCCGCCTGATGTGTCACAACCGGTGTTTATCTGGCTTTGCACTCTGTGATTTACATTTAAAACTTGGACAAATGCACCAGAATATAATCCTAGTTCAAGTATAAGAAGATATTGACATCAAAATGTATTCAAAATATTTAAGATCCGAGACAAAATGAGTTATTAATACTGCTTTATTTGTACCATAACCACATCGGCTGTGAGCTAATGACCCTATAAGAGAAAAAAAACTGCATATAACTGTGCCCCGAATGATTGGCACTCCTAACGACACTGATGTTGTGTGCGTTTCTCACAGTCCCAACTGTATTTACTCATTATTATTATAGAAAACGACCACATTGCTGCTAGAAATATTCCATGTATCAAAAAGCACCAGCAGCAGCAGCAGCACGACAAATTCAACAGCGGTTGATAAATTAAGATCATCTTCTTGAAAACAAAGTTGACGAGTGGTAGAAGCAAAATTAATATAAAAAACTGACGTTAATCAAGGACATTTCCCCACTCTGTGAGGAGCTCACAGTTCAAAATGGAAGATTAAGACTTCAAATTAAGACGGCAAAGAAAAGAGCAGTAATCATCGTTTACAATAAATTGACAGGTGATAAAGAGGCCATATTAACTCTGGTACTAAAGCAAGGCTTCTAACTACACCACACCGCAACAGTCTAATGAATTGTGATTATAGATACATATGAACTGCATCTTATTTATATTGCATATCGCATATTCAATTTTCTTTTCATCTCACACAGGACCACTGCGTTAGGATAATGTTGTGACTTTTGAAAATGATCTTTTTTTAGACTTTTTAGATGGTGAGTGGAAATTAAAAGAAAATAAGCTCCTTGCACCCGACGACATTTAAACCATGAGGCAGACGGATGTGAAAGAAAATGAACTGAGAAAAAAACCATCTCCTTCATAGCCTATTGTAAACCATGCAGTAGCTATGGTTTCATCTAAAGATGGAGTCCACCCTTAAATACGGACATCCTGTTATGGATCATAAATATGTGACCTTCATAACAGTCCAGCAGCGCTGTGATTTTGATCTACTTCATGGATTTTATACATAGCCTTTCAGCAACACAGGGGAAATGAGCATGAACTTGACGCATCTGACAAAACACGCTTTACACAAGGCATCTTTAGCTTCGCAGAGCAAAATATGTCGTAGCATTTCCCTTTGCCTGATCGTTCCCTTTTTAGACAAAGCAATGCCGTTCTTTAAGGTTGTGCAAAGTATTCACTTAGTCCAGTAAACAGACGGGGATTCCCTTGTGGATTACAACTCTCATTCAGAGTCGGTCACAGAGGACCATGGCCACGCCCACAGCGGAGTCTGCGTTTTGCCCGTACACCACCGGCTGAGGAAACGCCCTCTCCACCTCCTGCCTTAGCACCTCATTGCGGGCGATGACGCTCCCAATACCCACAATCCTGCTGATCCCAGCCTGCTGTAGACGCTCAGCAGGCATCATGGAGGTGATGTTGTCCAGCACTCCGCGGCACAGCGCCCTGGTCAAATGACCCAGGGAGAGATTGGTGGTGGAGATGTTGGCGACCTGACCCAAGCAGAGCGGGTTGTGCCTCTCCCCCAGGATCGTAGGGCTCACCCTCAGGTCGCTCGTTTCCTGATTCAGGGCGCAGTGAATCAGCTTCTCATACAAGCCCGAGTCACTCATCTCCGTACCTGTGAGGGATGAGAGTAACGATTCAACAATTTAAATCAATCAATCCAATAGTTGATGAGACATTTCACGCAACGCCACATGTGTCAATCTCACAGTGATGCTCGAGGAAAAGTCGGGATAACTGAAGTCATTAGGATCTATCCTTTGGGGACCATGAATGCCTATACTAAATAACTTTGCAATAGTTGCTATATTTTAGTCCGGACCAAAGTAATGAACAGACGCCTCCACCCCCTAGAACCACAGTACTAGCGCGGCTAAAAAATACATACCGAGCTCTTTCATCCAGGCAGCGAGCATCCCCACAAAAGTGGCCATTACATTTCCGCCGTTGAGTGAAGCCGCCACCGCCAAGTACGAGTCGCCAAAGTAGGGGAAGTAGGAGATGGAGGAGGCCGGCTGAGGAGAATCTGGAGGTTTGAAGTCGGCTGGCATGGCGAAGGTCAGCTGGGCTGAGGTGCTTATGTTAAGAACTGCGAAATTAGGAGACAGATGCAAACTGTCATCTACGGCATATGAACTAACAGCTCATGCAAGAGGCACTGATGGCAGGATTACACTTGATCTATAATGGATTTGTTTTCCTATGCGTGCTCAAACATAATGAGTCCAGACTAAGACATGGGTATTTACTGCTGTGTACTGACTTTATTGTTATGTTAAACCGTTCTTATGCTTTGCTATTGTTCTCTTTGCTGTTTTTAACTACAGTGTATTGAAGCATAATCGGTAGTGCATTAGAAGAAATCTAATGGATGCAAAACCTCATGGTACAGCCGTAATGGAGTCTTTAATCTGAAGTGCATGAAAAGTACTGCATAAAGCCCGGCCCTGAGAGGAATGCCCAGACTTCCTGTTTCACCTGCATCTGTCCGAGCACTCATGCAGGAGTAGACAGAGCACTGGAAGTCTCCCAGGGCAGCCCCCACTGGCGTACCAGCAGGGATACCGTGCCAGTCAGAGCACGTTTGTCCCGCCAAGCCACCAGATGGCACACACTGAGGAAGCAGGTGCAAAGGGAAGCCGGCACCCTTCAGGCTAGAGCATGCACACACACACACACACACACACAAACACACACACAGTAGCTTGTGACGCATAACAATTTTGTACAGTTCATCACAAGCTTACAATGCCAAAGTGATGTCAGATTAACAACTGATCATGCACAAACTGTAAAATACGTTTCATGCGTTTAGTACTTCAACTGAACAGGAAGTTCTTCCCTTTACATACATGTCTGTATTCCACTGGTTGGAGGAGGTGTTGAAGAAGCCCCAGCTGGCTGCGTTCTGGGGCGTCATCACACACCCGTCCAAACCACACAGCATGGAGGCCACATAGTCCTGGATGGTACCTGCAACGGTGAAGTCCTCAAGGAACTCAGGCCTGCAGAGAAAGCGCACATCTTTTAGTTCACTCTCGTATCTGTTATGTTCATTCTGTACACATGACATCTATCACACTTCTGTCCATCCTGATAGAGGGATCCCTCCTCTGTTGCTCTCCCTAACGTTTTTTCCTTTTTTTCTCCCTGTTAAAGTTTTTTTTGGGGGAGTTTTTCCTTTTCTGATGTGAGGGACCCGGGACAGAGGATGTCGCATGTGTACAGATTGTGAAACCCTCTGAGGCAAATTTGTGATTTTGGGCTATACAAAATAAATTGAATTGAATCACTAAATCAAGAGGCGCGACACGCTCTACGTGGGATTTCTAAAAAATACTGTGTGCTGACCTGTGCTTTGCATGCCAGAGGATTGTTGCACAGCCAAACCCCGTGGCTACGCTGAGATGCGAGTCTGGTTTGGGAAGAGAGGACAGGAAGTCGCTGCTGCAGCGCCCATCCTGCCAGGTGATCAGCTGACTGGTGTCTCCGCTTGTGAAGAAATCCCTCTTGGACCAAACACAACCTGCGGGGGGGGGGGGCAAGAGACATGTGACAAAAATACAGCAGACAAAACAACTTGCATCTGACTTCATGGTTTTGTTTGGTTGCAAAAAACATTCCAGTGGCACAGATTTACTATAACTAACCTATTTTCATATCAAGTTTTGGATTCAACCAGCAGAGGGCGTAGTTGCGAAAGAGCTACAACGGACCAACCAAGTTTCTGTTAAAAAGGAGGAGTTATAAGAAGATTTCACTTCCCCTAATTGCCCAGCTCCACGATCTATTTTCAAAAAGCATCTTACAAATGTCACCAACATTACAGACTGGCTAATTGGTGTAATTCAGCAGTGTGTAAACATCGCTCTCTTCTCTAAAGGCTTCTTCCAAATCCCTGTGGCCTTCACTAGTGAATGTTTTATCTTATCTTTTAATTTATTTTAACATTATGGGAACTGTTGTCCAAATTAAACTGTGCATTATCGTTGGTCTCTAAAGACAGAGGGGGTTGTCAGGAGCACATGCTCTCAGGAAAACAACTGAACTTTAACTTAAACAACCACCCATTCACTACCTGACCTGCGATAATAAAAAGTCAAACAATAGGAAACTGGAGATGGTCTTTGTTTGGATTGTAACACCTTCTGAACAATACATTCAAACTGTCTTAGATAAAACATAATTTTACACTTCAAATGACTTCAAGAACGACAATGTCCGTTTCTTTGTTGCTCAAACTGCTCATGTACCACAGCCGTTGTTTCTAAATACACCACACCTTCTGAAATGCAACGGCGTGCGTGCGTGCGTGCATGCATTGCAGCAGACTTGTCTTACCGCTCCTTGCTTTCCAGAGTAAGACCCCGTGCATCTGTCCGGACAGCCCGATGCTGGTGACATGCTGCAGTTTGTCTCTGGACAGCAGGCCGATGCACCGGTTCAGAGTGTCTATGATCCGGCCGGTCTCCTGCTCTTTCGCCTAAGCGGCATCGGGCACGTAGTCGGGTTACACCCGAGACAAGCACACAGCAGCGTTAATATTGCTGAGCTGCGAGGTAAAGTTGTTTGGTAATGAACGCACCACGGAACGCACTCACCTGTATCCCGCTGTGGTCTATTATATCAGACGAAGTTGGCAAAGCGTGACTGGCAGCCACCGACCTGGAGCCAGTTTCAAATAAAACAGCTTTGACCGACGTTGTGCCCACGTCTACACCGAGGATATAGGTAGACATTGCTGCTGATGAAACTCGGTGTTTTGGCATTCAGCTGTACGGCATCATCGCGACAAGGCAAAGTCAACTATGCTGCATTCAACGATGTAGGAAATAGGACGTTTACACATTAGTAATTACGCCTAACCGATTAGTTCCATCTTTAACAATACTGCAGGAAAATGTCAGCGAAAATCTAAAATATCACAATTTTTTCTGCTTGTGCCATCAACCTGAAGAGGAAGAAAATATTACAACAGGTCCCAACTTTTCTGGCAGAATAAAGCCTGCGTTTCATTCAGCCGGGCCAGTGCCAGGCCTGCTGGCTCACTGGCATGGCTTCTGAAAGCAGTTCAGGTATTGGCCTACTCATTCCATCTTCCTGGTATGACAAGGCTAACTATTTTCGGTGAGAAGGGTTGATTGTCTGTCTGGTAACAAACTTTGCTGTTGTTGTGTCTATGATATCTAGATTATTGGGGGAAAGAAAAGAGAAAACAAAACCTATGTTGCCCAGAATAGCACGTTGTTACCATGCTACAACTAAAGATACTGCATCTCGGGGAAATTTGACAGCAATTAATACATAGTAATTGCAATTATAACAGCAATTTACATTGTTATCTAGTTTTTTTTTTAGCTTGCTTTCGTCTGTTTAGTGGGGTTGTGAAACATTCTATTTGAATTACGTTTGAGAATTTACCTGTATGTGCATGCTCACCCAAGTCGAGTAATTATGCTCGAAGGTATTTAAACGCAATATAAAAGTTTCCTATTATCTAATGCGCTTAGAACGCACCACACCCTCGCCGCCTCTTTGGTCTGATCCGGTTTGGACCTGTCCCACAATGCACTGCGAAGGAACATGGCTGAATCTTGGTTAAGTGTGTTATCCAAACGAGAATGAATGTGCTGTTTCCGTGCCATATATGCTGACATTCCGTAAAAACGATCTACTATCCAAGCCTGTTGCAGATTATGTTTCTGTAATCGCGCTGTGAGGAGCCAACGAGTCCCTGCGTTTATTTCCGGTGAGAATCTGTCAACTGATACCGTCGGAGCTGCCGGATGACTAGCTAAAGGCTAATGCTAGCCTGTTAGCTCCACAGGTTACCCAGACATCAGGCTCTTCAGACTGGAGTCTCATCCATTTTTGTTTCTTACTGGTGTTTTGTGTGTTTTTGTCATCACAGCGCTTTAATTTGTTGGTGTTAGCTGACGTGATCTACTTTGATTTATTGGGGTCAGTACCTGGCTAAGCTAACATCAACCACGGCTGACTGACAGCTTCTCTTTTTTTGTCTTTGCCACACACATTAGGGGGCTTTCATTGTATCGAGACCTGTCGATATTTGTAATTTTGTCCTCGTGGTTAAATATGTTAAAAATGTCTAATATATTTCTGATAAAGTAATGGCCGTGCTTTTCATTAGTGGAATAAGCATTATGATCCTTTTAAAGTAAAAGTTATAGTATTCCAGGTAAAAGTCCGGCATTCAAATGTTGTTTTTTCAAGCATAATACTGACATATCACAGTAAATGTTAATATTATAAGCTAAAGTTGTCCCGTATGTAGCAGAGGGGAGCCAGTGAGTGTTATGTCATTGTATTATTATTACTGACACAATAATGAGCAGAATTTATTCAGAAGTAGCTGGTCCAGTTAGTTTATTTTTACAGTATTTGATGTTGAGGTTTCTAATCTGCAACAATCCACCGCATTTCATTATCTCAGGTTTTAGTCTCTGTATCTGTGATATAAATGTAGTTGAGTAATAAAACTGTTCTTCTGTCCAGGTTAGGGCCATTTGAGTAAATGTTCCTATTTTTGTGTCTGAATCTCTCCTGAAACAGGAGAATCTTCCTGTGATAGCTGACCTGAGACAACATGGCAGCACTTGTAGCCAAGCGTGAGGGACCACAGTTCATCAGTGAAGTGGCTGTGAGGGGAAACGCCGCCGTGCTGGACTACTGCCGCACCTCTGTGTCCGCTCTGTCCGGAGCAACAGCTGGCATCCTCGGGCTGACTGGACTCTATGGCTTCATTTTTTATTTCCTCTCTGCTTTCCTCCTCTCCCTGCTGCTCATTCTCAAGGCCGGACGGCGGTGGAACAAATGCTTTAAATCTCGACGGCTGCTCTTCACCGGGGGCCTCGTCGGAGGTCTTTTCACTTACGTCCTGTTCTGGACTTTCCTCTACGGAATGGTGCATGTGTACTAGAATGAGCTATGACGGATAACCGTGACTTAGCCCTAACACTATTGTCTGCCCTGCTGTTTGTAGATGAGCCATTAGTAAAAGACTTCTTCCATTTTGAACTGTATATTAAACAGTCAATAATTATAGTATGCAGAATAAACCGTTCATATATTTCCTGCTCCACACTTGCACTCTGCAGTGATTCTAGCTTTATTCAACCTGTAACTCCTGATCTGTGCTCAGTATCATCCATAACCAGGATAAGAGCCAAAGTTATGATAATGTAGACTGTAACTGTATCATGTAACATAGATCAAACCAGATTACATCCTAGATGTAAGCACTTTTAATTACAGTTCATGTACAATAGCATAGTTAAATTATAACAAATCTGATTACCGATTGAAATAAATACCTCTGTACAACTTGTTTTTATACATTATTTATCGGTTTGTCATCAGGCGGTTTCATCATGAAATAATCACGACAAATACATTTGTTTCCAACAATAAAGACCATTTAATAAATAGTAACGGGAAGAACAAACGAAAAGGAGTCCATGCACTTCAATGTCTTGCACCATTCATTACCAGTCAGCCAGTGCACATCACAACGACATTCCACAGCTTCACATGTGAATATCGTGAATAAGATTGTTGTAGCCATCGCATGGCTTAGATCAACGTCAACATACAGTAGGAGACACATCAGTGTTTAACAGTACACACAAATTCCTGTCACAACAGAGGTACACGATGCATTCAACTGCAATACCAACAATTAAGACCGTTCACTCATTTTATTACATATTGCTTCCTAGTGCAGATGTTTTTAAAGATTTTCATTTTGAATCCGTGCTGATAAAATCATTAAGGTGTTTTGTGAACTGATTTAGCAGAAATCACTTTACAGTTTATTTATTCGTCTACAATGTCTATTTTACTTAATCCAAGTAAGCATTCCAAGTAAGCATTCATTTTATGACATGCAACCAAGACAGTTAATTATTTGCATTTGTAAAGCAGTAATCTGCAAATATTTGGCAATTGGCTAAAAGTCTTAGATGAGTCACTTCTGTCACTTTTGCATCTGATTATCAATGAACCTGTTGTAATCTCCCACATCCCAGCTTTCGACCCTGACCCCGCCACTGAAAACCACCTTTCTGGCCCACTTGAACAGTGTCGAACATTTACATTTCTCTGGACCAACATGTTTGTAGTCGGGACAAGCATCATTCAAGCTAGTGGCGTGCCAGCAAGTCGTGCCAGTAGGTGAGAAGTGGACATCCGTCCGTCTCTTGGTTCCACCTCTTGCAGACCGCTGCAGGTGGTTGGTCTCGGCCTGCCTGCTTAACTTAATTGTGTGAAGCGAAGGTGATGTGAGGCCTTGGCTCTGCAGCTTGGGGAGAGACAATGGCAGGGTATCGCTGTCCTGCATTGCGTGGAACGGTGGGACCCCGTTGGTCCACAGGCAGCTGGCTCTCTGCCGTGGCCTCGGTGTCCTCTGGGCTTTTAGTGGAGTTGGCGGCCTCTTTCTCCGCAGCTGGTTTCTTGGATCTCCTCTCCCGCTGACCTGTCTTCCCATCCTTGTGTTTGGTCTTGTCTTTCCTGTGACATACAGTACGAGGGAGATGTGCCAAGAAATGTTATGTGAAACGTTTGGAATATGGCTGATTTAAGAAGGCGTTTGACGTTTGTGTAAACACAGTTAGTCATACTTGAAGTTGATGATTTCAAACTTCCTCTCTCGGTAGAAGGAGCTTGTGTTCATCATGTACAATAGTATCATATCACACGCGAAGGCTCCCTGGAAGAAAAATAATATCAACTGGATTTTCACAACCTGCAGAGAACCATTATTTTATTGCTGGTCATCATTCATCGCCCTCTCGTTTCACGCTAATAGGATGTTTTTCAAACGTCAGTCATCACCAATTATCCAATTACACATCAACGTATTCATTTAGTAAATTACTCACCACACCCAGCAGGGCAACACCCGAGCCTATGGCAATTATTGTGGGAACAATATTGAATTTCCCAGCCTGCAAAACAATAACAGGCATTCACTGCAAGTCTATTACCGGAATCATGTACCTCCCTTAGAAAGAAAACGGATCGTATCGCTGCTGTACCTGGCCATTGATCAATATATCGAAGCGAATCCCATACACTTTATACAAAGTGCGAAAGGTTTCACCATTTTGATCCTTGTAATACTTGGCATATCTGTGGGGGCAAAGATCAGTTGATCAAATATGGAAATAAATCAGGTCAGAGGGGTTTATTAGTGGGATGATTTATATCTCGCTGAATGCGTGAAGCGACATACCTGAAGTTGTATCCTGATGTGACCGAGTTGTTCACGTTCATGTCCAAACGGGTAAAGCTGTACTCTGGATTACACTGTGAGGAGTCCTTATCCAGGTCACAGTTCCACTCAATGAGAATACCAACAGACCCACCCTGACGGACAAAAACAGGGACCTTTGTGAATGTCGGAGCAGCCTCACATCACACGTGTTACTGCAGCTGGTCACTATATTGGCACACTTCATGTTCGTTTCCTTCAGGTTCTCAACTCCGCTTCATATCCGATCACTTTCATCTGTCTTGCTGATTAAACCTTAAATCAGAGCGAAGGTGGGTGGAGCTCTGCTGAGAATTATATGATGTCACCGAAATAAAAAAATCATTAACAATATGCCTTTTCACACATAAAAAAAGTATTTTCACTGCACAGGCTACTAATAACATTACATGATGGCTCTGTTCCATTCAAGTGTCCCGGTAAGCCATGATGGTGTGGCAGCATGCACAACACCAGGACCCTGTAAGTGGAGCAGTCCATCAGCAGAGGGAGCTCAATTTCCATGCTGGTAATTTAGCTGCTATCATGTGGCATCGGTATGGAAATCATTTCAAGCTTTTCAATTATTTCTTATTTATAAGACCAAAACTCCATACTTGTTAGGTCACGTGATAATAACTCTCCATGTCACCTGAAAAAAACACATGAAGATGTGATTTATTTGACTATTTCTGCGCAACCTCTGTGATTTCCAATAAAGCAGAAGTCCATGATGAACCTGCATTTTATTGTTATTCATAAAATGCAGTATACAGAAGTTAAATGTCTGCTCAGCTTTTGCTGTTTAGAGCCAATCACAGCACAGACACCTGTTCAAACCTCCGACCAGGGCTCCATGTGGTTTCATAACGCTGCTTGTCTTTTTGCATCTTCAAAATGAATTCGTCCAAGAAAAAAAATCTATTTTAGGTAACGACTCTCCCTTTACTTTAGAGTAATAAGACACTCCTCTGCTGTAGTCAAGCTTCAGTTCAGTCCAGAGACTGTGAGTGTTTGTTCACACACAACTCTACTGTACTTTGCCCTGATGCTCTGCGGTGTGGAATTTGGATTTCATTTTTTTTATATAGTCAAGCGGTAAATTAGGCCTGGATTTCATGGAACGTGTTGGATACAAACAGGAAGTAGAGAGAACAAAAGAGAGATTGGTGACAAATGTCGCCTGCAGAATCTAGACTGGGGATGTTTCAGATGCAGAACTGTTTTTCCACCCCGATATATAGACACTGCTTTTGTTCTGATTCCCTTAAATACGTCCTTGTCAATAATAGCAATGGTTATATGAATAATTGTTTTGTTTTGTTTTTTTAGTTCAAGGGGAAGTACAACTGTTATGTGAAATGACCGTGAGGAAGCCAGGAACTGAAATCCCTCCCACGCACAGTCTCAACATAGCACATTGTTACACTTTGTACCTTAGCAGCCAAGTCCTGGAAGTCGTGTCCAGTCCAGCTGACCAGATCTCCGAGGCGGAAGATGGGACAGTACAGGTTGTCCTCGCTGTCGTAGGAGCATCTTTTCAGGTAGCTGTCGTCGCAGGTTTCAAGGACGTTGGACCTAAAAGGGTCAATACAGCCGTCGTGAGGCACAGCTTTCATATGTCAGATCTTCAGGAACTATGGAAAGAACAACTCAGACTCCCAGAATTCTCCCAACTTCTCATATCGGCACATTTGACCTTTCGATCTTTTTCTTAGACACTATTACTGCTTAACCTTAGAAAGCTCTTGCACTGTTTTTTGCGATCTCTTACTTGGATTAATTCTGACTGAACTGTAAAAGTAGAGTTTTCCTCTACACACACACACACACACACCAGCATATACAGTATGCATATGTCGATCAGCCCACACCATTACGCCCTCTGGCTCTAAGCACAAACCGGGTGTGACACACTGTGAGACGTGCACTGCTGCCAGCCATTTTCGAGTAACACTCATCAAAAGGGATTTCTATTGGCGGCCACTTCTCATTAAGCCTTGGTTGTGTGATGAGAATAAGATCCTGACGGATGCATTAGCGGAGGCATCTCTCTGCTTTCTTGCAGGACTTGAACAGGCTGCAGAGAGATGTCCGCGGCTCAGCTCTCTGGGTCAGCCCCATCTGATGGGACACCTGTCCAGGGCAAGGCCTGCAGTCAAGGACGTCTCAGATGACTGTTTTCACTGTCTCACTGAGTGCAATGCACAGGCTGGTATAAATAGAAGGCTCTCTGCACCCTAAAGCTATTCAGAGCAGCCGCCGGGTCTCACTCAGTGATCTATGCACATGATGCCCTGAAACCACAGGCACCACCAGCAATCAGCACCACTTACGGACACTCACTTGGAGAATTCAAACTTTGGGAACCTGATGAAATTCTTGATGTAGATGGTGAAGTTTTCCGCTTCGCTCAGTAAGGGCTCTCTGGAGGGGAGGGGGGGAGAGAGAGACAGGCAGCTGTGTGAAATAAAAACAAACCAGTGGAGCTGACAGGCTGCATTAGTAATAAATAGAACCTGTGAAATATCTCGGCCCCTGTGAGGGATCAGACTGAGTGTCAATGTAGTAGCACAAAATGGCACATTTCCAGAGTTCTGCAAGAGGGGAGGAGGGGTCTCACGTGGGTCTCTTGCTGTACTCAACAGGACACCAGGCGTGAATCTCACAGGTCCCCGTGCTGTTTAAACACAACCCGGTCTTTATTCCTGACGGAGAGAGCAAAGGTTCTTGGCTGGGTGGAGCTTATAGAGAGTTTATGCTACAGTAAGACACATTCAGAATACTGCTGGTATGTAGTGTGTGTAGGCTACTGCTGCGTGATGCATCATATTCACATCATACAGAATATTGTTGAAACAAAAACTGCCTCTACGTGAAAAAAAATATAGTTTTAAGATTGTCAGTGACCAACAGGACAGATCTCAACCTGTAATTGAGGCTAAAACCTAAAAACTATTGTTGAGCGATTCTCACCATTGCCAGCTATCACAGTCTCCCCCTCGACGCAGTCATCGTCACTTTGGCACCGTCCATCTGGCACGTTGAAGCTCTGTGGGATGTGGAAATGCATTTAGGTGGACATTGTAATCCTGCACAGTTTCACCTATGGTCATTTCAGATATTAGGATGGAGAAGAAAAAAAACACACAATTAAAAGTAAATAAGGAGATTTGCCCTCCTCTGTATACTCACCTCAGCGCAGAACCCCAGCCTCTGATTGGGGGTCTCTATGTAATTTGTAACTACGAAGAACACCTGCTCACCCTGCAAAATGAAATTAGGACCAGACAGTTAGATTGAGAGGCAAAAGGTTAAACAAATTACACTCCTAAAACGGTCAATATTGTTATATCTGTGGAGACAGACGCTGAGGCTAATGATATCCGCTAACGCAGACACTCAGTAGCCTCGTAATCGCTCTCGACAGGTGAGTAATTGGGGAGTGCACTGACATCAATATTGTAAGCTGGATAGATAGATGGACAGACAGACAGACAGACAGACTCACTCACATTCGGGGGTATGACATAATCCTCAGCACCCCACAGTTGAAGCCCGGTCTCGGAGCTGTTGGTCAGTGTGACACCTTTTAGCTTGGTGATGACTGAGGTCTGGATGGCCTCTTCTCTCTCCTGGTAACCCTTCCTCACCACAAACACCCACCTGAGACATTCAGCGAAACATCTGGATTCACTATGTTTCAGAGTCTTATGTTGAATAAGGGTGCCATGCATCAGTACGTCCGGGTCTGACGGCACCACTGTCAGACAGATAAAAAGCAGTAATGCTGATGTGTAAATCTATCCTCGACTGCATCGTGGAATCATTTCTGCATCTCCACTGAAACTGCGTTGAACTATTTTGCACATCTGCGTGTGCATTTGGGGGTAACAGCAGCATCCACTGACTAAAACGACCCCCCCCCCCCCTGAGCAGCAGTACATAGAGCCAAATATGAGAGCCAGAGTCAAATATGATTTTATAACCCCCCCCTGCAGTCACTCACTAACAATTACGTTTTAAAGGTCAAACCAGATACTGTCATATTATCAACTCTCCCCATAATGCCCCAGTCACCTGCTCACTTTCCATCATTCCTCTATACATCAGCCTGACGTCACTCAGTGATGAGATAGCTTCCTGTCTCTAATGCCGAGTTGACGCATTAATGAATCCACCACCAACTCCTTCTGATACGCAACAGTTTAACAAAGTAAAAACATTAAAACTCCACGGCGCTGTCACTTTAACAGTAAAAAAAAGTCAACGCTTTCGGCGAGCTCAACTATTTTTAACTTTGTGAATCACTTTCTAAAAGGTTAACTTTATTCCATGCCTAAAAAGGGGTCTTAGGGGGCATGCATTGCACCTCACCCGATTATGTATCCCAGCACGGCCAGCTGGTAGAGTCTAAACAATATACCGATTTTGCGGTTTTCGGCGATGACATATTTCTCTGTCTTGTAGTTGAGGAGTGACACGAAGAAGCCTCCCCAGCCTGCCATTCCTCCCGCACGCTGGACCCGAGTGAGGCGGCAGCTCCCAGCGGATACGCTATTACAAGTGCGCCGCTGGTCATGCGACGGGCAAACCCATCGAGAGAGGGGCTGTAAAACACCAACACTGTTTCCTCTGAAAGTCCAACGTGAGACGATTGTTTCAGGGTTTTTTTTTAACAATTTGAGAGCTTCACAAAACTTTCTAGAGCAGTAATCACTCCCGTGAATCCACATTGACTTTTTAGTTGCCTTTTAAAACCCACTTTGGCTAATATTGCTGTGAAATTCCTAATATGGCTTATTCTAAATTAAAATTATTTTGTGTCATATTATTTTCTCAGGTGATTAAG